GCTTCATAATGGACAAATATATTCCAAATAGGTTTTACACAACAATGATTAAGCACTCAAATGCATATCCTCTTTAATCAGAACAATGTCTGAGGGATAAGCGTATCCAGAGTGGGATTTTAAATTGCCTATTTATCTAATGCGCAAACCTCCCCTTTAGAACCTATTGTTGAGTCTTCCTGCCTCAAATGAGAGCCAAGCGCCGGATTGTTTTCGGCTTTGTGCTGTGCTGCTAGATTCATTTGAGTCATCTGATTGAACAAAAGACTATTAATTTTTCTGACAAAAACTAACAATCGACTGCTCATCCATATAACTGCAGATAACAACATGTAGAAGGGCATGACAGACCAAGCAGGCCGAATCAGGCTGTTCATGCTAAGTCATGCTATGAGGTAGGGCTGGGCGATACGGCCAAATACATATGTGTACATCATTCAACACTGATTCATGCTTTTCCTAAAGCTTAGTTCTAAATGTGAAGTGTTTTTGAACCCTAAAGAAAACAAAAGCCTTATTATGGTGCAATATGTCAGCAACAGAACTCTAGATAGAGTGTGGTATTGTAAATAATATCACGACTGTGTATTGGACGAGCCATGATTTTGTGTCACCCTCAAATTTTATATTCCTTTTATGCAAGAGTTTTGCAAAAGTAGCGAAAGAAGTAAAACAACGAAATCCCTACTATGACTTTAAATATCCCCAATTTAGATGTATTCAATTCCACCCACTAGTTAGGACTCCCACAATCACACAAGACTACCAGCGCTAGGAGGGTGAGAGCTAGCACAGGCTTCCTCTGAGACCTGTGAAAAGCCACCACATATTTTCAGACTGCTGCTAACGCGGCGTCATTGGACAGCTGAACGCACTCGTAGGAAAGCGCTAACCACCAGTTCTGTTATGTCACACTTCTTGGCCTCCCGGCTACAGATGGCGGTAGCATCACCGGGGATCAAACTCTCCATCTCCTGATGACAGGACCAAATATATACTTTTAATATCAGCAGTGTCTTCCAACAAAAAACGTTCTAGCAGCTTAGAGAAAAGTGACTATTGTTATTGCTTACCAACCTTTCTTCAGTGGAGTGATAAAATAGAGTGGAAAAAGACTTTTATCAGATATATCGAAAAACTGATCTGTAAAATGTTCATTATCGTTTTCACCCGGGCTTATTATGAGGTTTCTTCAGTGAATATGATATATGACCACATGGACTGAATGTGATATTAATATATGGTAATGTCTTCTAAGAAAGATGCAGATTGTTCACTAGCAGTAAGAATGTAAGAGGAACAAGAGAAATTACTGATGACAACTGGAAAACGTTCAAGAAGAAATTCAACACGTTTCACTGATTACAGTAAAGCCTTCTACTATATCGACCAATTAAAATTATGGAATATCCTCCGGAGAATGGGTACACCAGATTATCTTACTGTTCTGATGAGGAACCTCTACACAGATCAACAAACCAGCCAGAAAATGGACACACAGGTTCCAAATTGGCAAAGGCGTCAGACAGGGTTGCCCCATATCCCCATACCTGTTCAACCCGTATGCTGCACATATAATAAAAGAAGCAGAATCCAGAATTCAAGATTGGTGGAAGAAACACCAATAACCTTTAATATGTAGAAATGTCATTCGTAGTTGAAACTCTGCTTGATTTGGGACCTAAAAGCCCTTAAAGAACAGAGTGAAAAGACGGGAGCTCAGTATGAAGAAAACAAAGATAATGACAACCTTAAAGGTCACTAGCTTCACCACTGGCGATGAAGATGTAGAAGTGGTGGACAGCTTTTACCTACTTGAATCAATTTTCAACAACAATCTAGCAGTCAAGAAATATGACACTTGGCAGAGAATGAAGGAGCTTGAAAAGATCTTCAAGTGGAATGATGTTCCTCTGCAAAGAAAGATCAGAAGTGACCAGGCTGTGGTCTTTTCTGTGGTTCTTTGTGGATGTGAAAGCTGGACAGTAAAAAGTGGGACAGGAAGGATTGATGCCTTTGAACTTTGGTGGTGGTGAGGACTTTTGGGAGAACCTTGCATGGCTGAATGACTGGGCTTTTATTCTGAGGTCACTCATAAATTCTAGTGGTTGCAAATTTTGAGGCTTAATTTGTTATCGAGCTGAATCTTGACTTCAGAATTGAAAATATAGGTATTTTTTACTCCTCTAAGCAGTAGTGAAGAATATGTTAGCTATTTAGAATGATGTTCTTAACAGAATGTAAAAACACTTACTACATGAAGCCTTATGACTGCTTCACGGATGTCTTAGAGCACTCTAGCTAACGCATCTGAGGGCTGCAGAGGTACTATCTTCTGTAAAGCAGCAGTTTGGGATACGACATCATCAGGAAGTAGAGAGGGAGGTAAAGTGAGGACAGAACAGCTCAGCCAGAGCTAAATCCCTCCTCTATGGAACGTGTTACATAATACATCACACATACACACAGGCCTTCAGACTTTAAATATCACTGTGTGCTCTTCGGAATTATGAATTATTTTGCATGCATTCTCTTCATATTTTCAAATTAGACCTAATTATAGCCTGATTATAATTAATTGCCACTAACAATGACATTAAAACTGCTTGGTAAGACTTTACTGTAGGCCAGTGGTCCTAAGGCTACATTCATTGCAGTTGACATAATCCTATTTAAATGTTTATAAACATTTCTTCAATAGGCATTTGCCAATTTTGAAGTCACAGTGACGTAATTGTGATCATCCGATATAGCCTGCCAGGTCACTGGATGAAAGATATGCCCACTAGATGAAAAATAAAAGCAAGAAGGTCTGAATAATGTATACCCTGCTCCTCTTAAGCATATTAAACAGCTCATAGATCATATAGGAACACATCTGGTATTTCATTTTCCAGATTCACTGCCAGTTTTTCACTGGCGGAAAAGGTCGCATTGTATTCTGACACAGCATACAAATACATTCAGCTCATTACGGACACATTAATAAATGTCATTAATATTTATTTGGACATGTCTTAATTAGATTTGTTTGGATCTGTGTGGTCAGCTTGCTAAATAGGTTATCTCTGCGCTCTCATCGTAATGATTACCGGGACTTCAACGGGAAATAGCCAGTCAAGAGTAACAGTTTTTTGTATGGTGATGCACCAAAATGTAAATCCTTGGCTGAAACCAAAATTCAGGACACACAGGAGCATAAAACAAAAACAGTTTGCTTAAAGTAAGAATACTAAGATAACCACAGTACATCTTTAGCTACATCATGTGCCAAAAAGGTCCTTGACAACAGAGAACAGTTGATCATCCAGGTCACTGAACTCCATTATTGTTAGTGATTCTTTGCTATTTCTCTGTGGTTTGTGAGTGTTTTCATCATGTATAAATGGCGCTGGAGGGATACTCTCCTTTCTGGTTCTGTTGTTGTGCTGTGTTCTGCGTATCAGGTCATGTTTTCAGGTCAAACCTGCAGTGGAGAAGGTATTGCTGTCTTGATGCTCCACAGAAGCAGAGATTACAAATCTCTTGTCAGATGTTCCTTGTAGAAAAGTATTTGCATATGGCTGATATTCTCACTGTTGATCTTCTGTCAAACTGTTTCAGCGCATTTCAAAAAATCAAAAAAGAGATCTTCTGAATATCTCTATAGGTTCTTCTAGACAATGAAATCTGCCGCTGAGGTGTTTCTTTAAAGGAAAACAGCTTAGTAATCTCCTATGTCTCCTCTAAAGGTTTAGAGATCTCAATAAAGTTACACATTGTGCTCAGGTGTGAAGATAATAATTCAAATTAAACTGTCATTTCTCCTTTGTCTCTCCTGAATGTCCTCTCATGTCTCCTGTTTGTCCTTTAAGTGCATTTTACAGTGGTTGAAATTTCTGTGCACCCCCAATTTTTAACGTTTGAAGTTGCTTGTAGCTCGCTGCAAGCGGTAAAAATATACTTGAAGCTTTGAGCATGGCGAGTGCGCACCTCTTCCATCGTTGTTCACACATGACAATGAATGCGCTTAATGCACATGGCAGGAATAAGAGGCCACATTAAAGAAACAGACACACCACCTGAGCTGCAGTAAAGTGTTTGTTAGGAAAGCTGCTCTGAATGATGTCCTCTTAGGTTGTTTTCACGTTACAGCTTTTTCCAAACCAAGCACAGCTCTGCGAGTTCGGTACACTTAGTCGAGTGTGAAAGCTGTTTTTGAGTTCGAGAGTGGTCCTGAGAACCAATCTCTTTTCCTCCTGAAATTGGTGGTCTGGGTTTCACTTCGTGCCAACTCTGGTGTGGCCCACTGTGCATGTGGAAGCTATCTGCTCTCAGTATCATGACTTAACAATTTATTGCATTATTTCCTTTTTTAGGTTTTGTGATGGCGGAAGGAGGACGATTATGGCCAAAAAGCGCTGTTCGTCACTGCTTGAGCGTTCATATCCAAGGAAAATAATAAAAAGCAGCAAACAGATGAAGCTAGAGCTGACCATTTTGCACACCTGCACACCTAAAAGTAATGTATGGAATTGCACAAGCAATCCACGATCCAGCAATAATGAGACCCTCCGCTAAACGAGCCCAGAATCATTCCTGGGTGCAGACTCAAGTATACAGGACAAGTGTGAAAATGCTCTTAAAAAACAAAACACAATGCAACAAAGCAGTTTGCACAATGCTAACTGCTTCCAATACCTGTTAGCTACATTAACCTCGCAGCTCCAGTTCTAAAACTAAAGAGGTAAACTTCAGACACCAAACATGTCTTGGCTGATCAATTACATTCAGGTTATATAAGGAAAACTTACTAATTAATTTTTGTTTTAAAAGATAAAACATATCAAACCTTCCATCTAGGATTTATTCAACATAAACAGAACTTGGTTAGCATTCAGTCATCAGACTAACTGGCCCCCTGACCACGTCTCTGTGAGGCTGAACGAGCTCTAAAGAGCGAGACACAGTTAAAAGCTTATTGATCTGTCTTTTCCCCAGAGATCAATTAGAACACTCACCGAACACAGTCCTGGCGGGGACCGACTCTCTGTTTAGCCAGAAAGACACCTGCGATAGAATCACCGTCATGATGCATGGCAGGTACGTCTGGATCACGAAGTAGCCGATCTTTCTCTTCAGGTGAAAGTGTGTCGTCATGACAACATACTCTCCTGGAGCGTGGATGAGAAGAGAGAGCACATTATATGTAGCAGTTTGCTAATTAGGATCTGTTAGAACTGTTAACAGAGATCAGAATCTGACTGTAATCAATTAGCAAATCCAGCACAGACAGTTTAATCGGGCAGCCTTTAAATACAGCTTAACTTTATTTCATTTTTATTTGCGACTGGACAAATCCAATCAAAAACAATGCTTGAATTGATTGATTTGAGGGCTGTGCTGACGTTGACTCTCAAATCTAGTTGCTATGTTCTTAAGCAACCAATACACTGAGATTTTAGGCTGGTTTCAAGGTTACAGTTAGATTTAGATTTAATTGCATTCAACTTAACCTTCTGTTACAGTTAAAACAAATTCAGTTGCATGTTACTAAAAGAAAAGTTGAAGATTTACAGATCATTTATAAATCATCTAAATTATCTTTCATTTGTTTTAATTTACATATCGCTGCTGTTGGAAGAAAACCTCCATTTTTGCTGCTTTTCAGTTTTTGACAGAATTTAAAAATGCCTGTTACCCTTTGCGTTGTGTGTATTGTGTGTCTGATATTTACATATTCACAATAGATATCAAATTATGTATTTATTTATGTATTTATTTAGCTGGAAGGGACAAATGTATCAGCAGAACAACAGAGCCACATTTTTAAAATGTTATTTTTCTTCAAATCTTATTTTTATTCATTATATAAAAAAATAATAAAAAGTGATGTGGACTCTCAAATGTAGTTGCTATGTTCTTCATCAACCAATGTACTTAGATTTTAGGCTAGTTCCAGGTGCAAATCATACACACCAAAAAAACATAACTATTAGATTTTCAGTTTGAGCCATAAATGTCAAAATTCTGTCAAACTATGAGGACAAAAAACACCCATTCTGGTATTATGATGGTGCTAAACTAATGCCAATTCTTATAAACAGTAACATTTAATGCTTGTGAAAGTCATTCTGTGTGTTTTCTTTGAATCTTGTAACAGTCATTATTATATATCTGAGCTTGTGTGTATCAGTGTTACAGTGACTCTTTCAGTAAAGGGTTCTGACACAGAGCTGCCGCTGTTTTACATTCCTAACAACTAACTGGAACACTGCTTAGACTTCCAGAAGGACTACAGGGATGTTTTTTCTCATAGTTCCACAGTTTGATTGGTTCTTTATTCTGTCACTTCCTAAAATTTGTGGATAGTTAATCTAACATGAAGTCCTAACCAATGGGAGAGCAGCTCAGCTGAATCTACCTAGATACCACAGAAAGAACAGTCCTGATTGGATAATTTTCTGTGGGGCGTTTTAAGAATTTACCCCTTTTGCTTTCAACTAAAACTGAAGTATTACTACATCACTTACCAGTTTAAATACAACAAGCAACAAACCTTTATATAAACTTCTTGTTTTTTATTTACATTTTTATTTATGTTGTTAATTCCATGATGGAATTCATGTTTTTGAAAGTGACTGTCCTCAAAGCACAACTGTAATCTGTCATTATAGCAATCTCTCAAATTATTCTCTGATGAGTCGTCTATCTTTTATCTGAGTCGACGGCTTGTTGAACACAAATTCTCTTGCACAGTAATGGCCACCAATTAATTGAGCACCGCGACTCAGAACTCTTACCACAAACCATTTCCAATTGATCCGTAATAAATAGCCTTTCTCGCTTTGACAGCTACAGACACGGTAATCAATATGTACTTATTCAACAGCCATGCAAAATTGATTGTTCACCTTCCAATCGATAAATATTGCAGGAAATCTCTCCGAGGGCAGGCACCCGCACTTGAAACAACACCAGCCAATAGACAACTTCAAACAGTACCGTCCTGCGCTTAACCTTCAGAAACTGCATAAATCTCATTAGCATGTTAATTAATCCTGCTATAGCTGGAATACAGCACTGCACAGAATCTACACAGCACCTGCCTCTCAGAGTCCAGACCCTCAAAATCCCCCAGTTACTGTAGTTTGTACAAATGGCTAAATCTGTACTTGTTAAAGAGGTGAAATCACCATAATGACAGCTATACACAATATTCACAAAGCTCTTTTCATACATAATACAATAATCAGAACTTACTGTATATCTTTACCATTTTCATGAGTTTGTTTTAAATTGTTTTATTGTATTTTGGATCATCTTTCATTTTGAACGTCCATTATAGGTCCTCTATAGGAGCTCAAATTATTAACAACCTATCAAACTCAGCTGATTTTGTACAACATCAGGATTAGATTTAGGTTTAAAGTTGAAGTTAAGGTTACAGTTAGATTTAGATTTAATTGCATGCAGCTTAATGTTCAGTTACGGTTAAAACATATTCAGTTGCATGTTATTGTTGAATGTTGAATGTTCAAAAATATCATATGATACCTGAAGACATGTTCACATTTCACCATAAATATCAAAATATTTATATTTATTTTCTTTTTTGTTTGTTTTTTTTGTGTTGTTTTGTTTTTTGCTGGAAAGGATGAAATGTACCAGCAAAACAGCAGAGCCACATTTTAAAATAAATTTTGACTGATATTATATTTTTATTAATTGAATAAATTATAAATATAAAAGACAATCTACAAATCATCTACAGTGGACTACAGTACAATTTTTGTTTGTTTGTTTTAATTATATGTACAAAATGCTATGTATAAGTAAAGGTTGGGAAAATGGCACAAACATAACATCATGACACATGAAGACTTTCACATTTTAATTTATATATATATATATATATATATATATATATATATATATATATATATATAAAACTTATTTTTTTTAGCTGGAGATTTAACACTGACTGATGGAGAAGACAAAGTAAGATCAGTAACCAGCAACATCTGAGCTTTAACAGTGTAGATGAATGTGGGCTCACTATTTGGCAAGCATCAGGTCATGGTTGTCATTTTGTTGATGTGTTAAAACTGCTTATTACTGATTTTTAAGGTGTTAATGACCTAAGTAATGACCATTAATAAAGTCATTTTAGACCATTGTAAATGGTTTATGAGGCCAGTTTTATTTTACAGTGGTAATAATTTTAGCAAAAGTAAAAATGTGTCTTTAAATGTGTCCTCTTTTCTGTTTATTTGCTTGTTTTAGATACACATTAATTGTAAGTGATTTCTTACTTGGCCAGTAAAACGGATTCGTGGGTTCTCTGTTTTAATATTCCACTCTGATAAACAGGGTCAGCCATTTGCTACAGTCTGCTGCCCGTATCAATCAGCCCACAGTAGGAGGAGGAGGGAGGAGGGAGGAGGGAGCGCTCTGCACATCCACGAGGGAAACGACCGAATCTGGGGCATCTGCTTCTGCAGATGAACTCACTAACGCGCAGCAGCTCTGTGTGCATCTGAGTAGTGAGTGTGAGACGTAATGGACTCACCAGTGCTGGACTGGACCACCCCCGAGTCCACCGTCTGCCCCATCAGGTCGTACTGGTTCAGACGGGATCCGTCTTCGGCCACCACCACCGACTGAGCCGCACCGCGCGTCCACACATATACGACCTCAGCCCGCGTGTACGCATCTAATCAACAGACAAACACGTTTTCATTTTATTACGTACAAAAATGACACATATTTGCCAGTTAAAGGGCTCAACAGGTAGAAAAACACTAAAAAAAGACTTTTTGCTGTTGCCTGCTGCATTGCTTGCTCTATCATTGTGTATATAGATCAGTTTCATCTGTCTGTGTTGTTGTCTGGATGGAGTGATGATATTTTTTAATCACTTGGCTTTATAAATGAGAATACATTTTTCTACAATTCTGTGTGCACTGCAAAATATGATATCTTAGTGAGTGAAATCATTTTAAATCTTGTCAATAAAAGTAATATTTCCAGTTGTGACATTGTTGTAAAAATTAATGAACACATTTGAGATTAAACATTTCGAGCAATCCACTGAAATCATCCCAATTTCCATTTACTCTATTTTTTTTTAGCTAATATTGATAATTTGGCTTGAATTAAGCATTCACTGAAACAAGTAAAATGATCTACCATTGCAATCATTATACTAGATGACTAGATAAAATGACTTAAAATGACTAAAAATGACTAGAATTCTATTAATAATCTTACAACATTCTTACAGTAATCTCAAATTGAGAAACAGTATATATATTTATTACTTTTAAGAACTACTAAATAACATGTGGTGACTGAAAGTGTTATATCCAGAATAGGGATGTGTGCAAACATTAGTAATCTGTTATTTTTTTCTTTCAATAGTCATTTTATATTAACATATTGACAATATGGAGTTACAAATATGCAAATAGAAAGCTCAGCATTTGAAAACTGCCATGTGAAACAGTAACGCAAGTACTCTAATACATTATATGGCCAAAACTGTCACATCTCTATGAGAATGGTATGATGTCTCATTCCAAAATCATGAGCATTAATATGGAGTTGCCCCCATTTACGGCTATAACATCCTCCACTCTTCTGGGAAGCTTTCTAGAAGATGTTGGAGAGTCTGTGGGAATTTGTGTCCATTCAGTCAAAAGATCATTTGTGAGGTCAGACACTGATGTTGGACGAAACAGTCTGGCTCACAATCTCCATTCCAGTTCATCCCAAAGGTGTTCAGTGGGGTTGAGGTCAGGGCTCTGTGAGGCCACTGGAGTTCCTCCACACCAAACTGGTCACTCCATGTCTTTATGGAGCTGCTTTGTGCTCAGGGTCTCAGTCATGCTGGAACAGGAAAGGCTCTTCCCCAAACTGCTGACACAAAGCTGGAAGCAGATAACTGTGTAAAATGTCTTTGTGCTGCAGCATCAACATCACCCTTCACTGGAACTGAGAGCCCAAACCCTGAAAAACAGCCCCGCCCATCATCCCTCCTCCACCAAACTCTACTGTTGTGCATTCCAGTAGGTAACGTTCTCCTGGTATCCACCAAACCCAGATTCATCATCAGACTGACAGACAGAGAAGCTGATTCATCACTCCAGAGAACACGGTTCCACTGCTCCAGAGTCCAGTGGCGGCACTTTACACCCCTCCAGCCGACACTTGGCATAGTGCATAGTGATCTTAGGCTTGTGTGCAGCTGATCAGCCATGGAAACCCATTTCTTGAAGCTCCTGATACACAGTTCTTGTGCTGATGTTGTTTCCAGAGGCAGTTTGGAGCTCTGCAGTGAGTGATGCAACAGAGGATCGGCGATTTTTAAGTGCTTTGTGCTTCAGTGGTCCACCACTTCGAGGCTGAGCTGTTGTTGCTCCTAGGGCAGATCTAGCATGAACTGACTTGTGGCAGGGGCAGCATCCTATGATAGTGCCAAGCTTAAAGTCACTGAGATCTTCATTTCGACCCATTCTGCTGCAGAGATGTGCCATGTGCTTGACTTTATACACCTGTTAGCAATGGGTGTGGCGGAAACACCTGAACTCAATCATTAGGAAAGGTGTCCACATACTGTTGGCCATGTTTTGCAATTATATGCACCCCTAATCCCAGCCATATTCTATGCTAGATTCTTCAAAGTAGCCACTCTTTACTTTTATGCAGAAATGACATTTTGTTTTGGAAATAAATTCAACGTATTTATCTTGGAAACAAATTTCAAGCATTTAAGCTTAAGCTTTTAGATCTTCAGACGGCTCCAAACGTTTGCCTGAAAGTGCAGTCAGTGCTGTAAAGCACACAGTGAAAGTCCTGAAGCTGTGCTCTGGTCTGTCAGGACACTCTGCTGCAGTACGGTCCTCTACTGCTGCAGAGGCGCTTGAGAAGCTGAAATATTTAAAGCCACGGTTTTGGAGTCACTGGCTTATTTTCTTATTCATAGAGGGTACGTGTCTTTTTCCAGAGCAGACGCAGCTGTGCTTTCTTTTCCAGGATGAAGTGAGGTCAGACAAGAGCGAGACAAACACACCCGGCCGAAATAGGCGGGGTTTGGGGCTGAGTGACGAGGGAGACAGAAAGAGGAAGACAGAGAGACAGAGGAGGGCATGAAATGGCCTTTGGGCGTCGAACACCTACGAGGAAAGCTCCTGTCTGCTGAAACTTAGCAGCGCGGACATGATCGAAGTGGATGAGGAGGGGAAAAAAGGGAAAGCCGTTACTCACAGCTGCCAAATTTGAGGGGGCAGGCATGGGCATCCATGGGAAAATCCTCTAAATGCATGGGGCACTCCGCTCTCACTGTCAGCCTGGGAGACAGACAGACAGACAGAACGACAAGAAAGAGAAAGTGCAGAGACAGAGAGAGAGACAAGAGAGTTCAGCGTGAAACGCGAGGTGACGAGAGGATAGAGAGCCAGACAAAAAACAATTTGCAATATTTACACCTCCTGCCAGCCAGACTTAGCTTATTTTAAGAGATAGTCCAGTAGCGACGGTTCTGGGTCTGTATAGATGAGGTGGCTGTTGGGTGACCAACTTTAAACCCAGAAATATGAAATTATTCAAAAACAACCCAGAGAACAAATCTTGGTATCTGACTAATGGTATCTAGTCAAGTGAAATAATCTTATATGTAGTTATTATATCTAATATTTCTCATTTTGAGTTTATAAGATGATGCAACTTATTTCTAAACAATTTTACTTGTTTTAAGTAATTTATTAAGTCAATTATCTCACAGTATTGGCAGATAATTTTGCTTGTTGTATGAAATATGCTTGAAATAAGCCAAAATATCTGCTAATATAGTGAGATCATATAGTCAAATCACATAAAACAAGTAATAAATGTCTATTTAAACAATCTTATAAGCTTACAACAATCCTAACATGGGAAATATTGGATATGTCAACTAGATTTAGGATAATTTTACAAGTTTTCATGTGAACCAAAATTGCACTGAATGAATGTGCTTTTGTGATTAAAAATAGTTTTACAAAGTCATTGACCAAAAACATCTTTCTGCATTTGATATTTACTAAATGAAATGTTAGTAGTTTAATTTTTTTTAATATATTAAAACTGTTTGTAATAAATAAAAAAAAAATCATCCAATTTTTTTTGCAATGCGAAAAAATGATATATTGGCAAGTGAAATGATCTTAAATCTTCTCATTTTGACATGTTTTTAGTGATTCTAATAAGTCAGATCATTATATTAGCAGATGATTTTACTTGTTTAAAGTATATTTTTTACAAAACGCAAAAATGATCTGCTATTTACAGTGAGATTAGACTTTCTAAAATCACTTACAACAAGTAAAACAGGTCTAGAAATAAGTTACATAATCTTATAATAAGCTTACAACAACCCCAAATTAGGAACTATTAGATATTTCATCTTCAACACAAAGAAACAGAAAAGTCTGAGACCACACAAAAAATCTGAGATTGTTTGCCTTTAATCATGGAAACAGAACATTTCATAATAAAAATAAATAAATAAATAAATAAGCAAACAAAGAAAAGTTATCACAATTAAAATGAAAATATTAGAAATATTAGAAATTTTGCAATATTTCTAGATCACTATTCAAACCTGAAGCGAATATGTGAAATTGTCTATGTGGAGATGTTTTGTATTAAAAGGTCAGAGTTATTTTTTAGTCTGATCTCCTCCAGTGAAGCTCATGTTCAGACGCCTCTCAGGTGGACTTGATCTGCTGATCAGACGATTTTGTCACAGTTAGTGGCCAAAGTCATGAAGTCAAGAAATGAGGACAAACAAAAGAAATTCTGAAATTCATGATAAAAACTTCAAAGACTGTACCTTTTACTTAGATGGTTATGCTAATAATATAATTTGTAATTAAATATTTTGTATTAAATATGAAAAGAATGCAAAATAGAAGCATTTTCACTGGTGGTCTCAGACTTTTAGACCCCACTGTATATAATTCAGTAGATATAGTTTACAAGTGATATTTATTATTATTTTTGAGTTTGTAGTGTTTATCCTGATTTCGATGAGTTTAGTCTCTCAATCCAGCCGTTTTTTGGTGTTGAAGCACAAACAAACACTCTTTCAGGAAAACATCACAGTAACTTTCTATACTGCAAATGAAACTGGTGAATTTCTAGAACTTTCTGAATAGCAATGAACGATACCCAACTATCAGGATTGATTACCTAAGAACCAATCATTTACCAGCTTCAGTGGGGGGGCACCTGTACCGGCCAGTCAAATTTCTGATAGGGGGTCAGTGCCAGCCTAGACCCACCTAGACACATCACTGCTGGTGATGCAGTTGACACAATGCTGACTATATAACTATGCTAATTTGTGGGCTTCCACTACTTGTTAGCTATGTTAGTCTCACAGCTCCAGGGCTAAAACTAAAGAATCAAACTTCAGACCCCAAACCCGTCTTGGCTGACTGACCACCTCTGAAGTGTGTGTGTGTCTTTTAAGTCCAACTGTGTTGCACAAAAGTGAAAGAACCTGCACAAACCACTCAAGGCTACATTCACACCAGCCTGAGTTTGACAGAATGATGAAGCGGAGGACGTCAGCCCACTCAGGACGTTTCTCCCATTTGTCTTATCCGTGACACAAATATGAACTCCCCCCATCCCCCTAATCTCCTAATAAACACTCTAAAGAATGCTTTACGGCTCTGAGCGTCCTGACCCGCGCATTAAGAGCCTCTCCCGCCAGCCACGAGTTCACATCTCGGCTTTATTTATGACGTGGTAACTCAGACGCACGGTGACACTGTTCCCCCGCGCAGTAGCACAGCCTTATCTCCCCCTTCCTTATGCAGCATGGAGGCCTGTTCCCTTCACATCACTTTTGAGGCAATAATCCATGTTTTCTGGAGGGTGGAAAGAGCTAGAATGGCTATGTTGTGTGTTTTTGAAACTGGTCCCAAACCTGAGAATCCAATGTTTTGCTATAGACTGATTTGAGGTTAGCAACTTAAATCTACTTTACCACAGTCATAGTAGCTTGAAGCTAACAGTTTGAGCGAATGTGCCACATGTTCAGGAGTAAATGGTTTGTTTTGGAAGTTTAACCCTCTATTTCACGGTGTTGCCATATGGCAACAATTACTTTATCTTAATTTTACTAAAAAGCAGTGATATAAAATCTGTGTTTTCTTATTTAATTGTGGAAAAGGGGTCTTTTACTTTGAAAGGACAAATACTTCATGACATCGCATGACCAGGATTTTTTATTATGGTGTTGTCATTACCATACTTTCCAAATACCAATTGAAATTGTATTCATTTCCAATATTTGTAAATATTGGGTCATACAATTCACTAAGTATAAGTCTGATTTGTTTGTTCTTGTTTTCAATAAAAGGATAATTATTCAATAAATATAATATATGATAGAATTCAATAAAAAGGATGTTTTTAGAGAAAAAATTAATTTTATGGTCCTTGTTTTTTATTTTTATTTTTTATTTTATGATGCTATGGTACAATTGCGCATTGTTGCCAAATGACAACAATTTACCAAGTAACCCACTAAATTTTTAGAAATAAATATATACATTTTTTTAATTTCATTATTTAAGCAATTTCAAACAACAAAAACACATTAAAACATGTTATCACATTTAAGTAATATTCATGCAGTAGAGGATTAAGATTTGATGAAAATAAATAAACGTTTTCATTAACAAGTGAAATTAAGTAACTATATCTTTTGCAAACTTGTGAGACAGTAAATCTACAAAAGATTACAAGATTCCAGCAAATTTTTAAGAAGTCATGGTTTGGCTAGCAGCAGGTTTAGCAGTCACAGATTGTCTTGTAACCTTTTTTTATACAAAATCCAAGAAAATAATTTGTACACATTATAATTCCTCCAAACTCCTTGTGAGATTGATGGTAGAGCAGCATCAACTCAGCGTGTGGAGCAACCAGATGCCTCACGCTAGCGCTCGTTAACCTGCACTAGCTTCTCTTTACAGTGTATCGCTCTAGCTCCTGCTAGCCCCACTTTAAGGTGTAGTTTGCTATCTCCTGCTAGCCTCATAGTGCAATAGCTCCTGCCAGCTTGCGCTAGCCTCACCTAATGGTGTAGTATGCTAGGTCCTGTTAGCCTGCGCTAGCCTTACCTCATGGTGTAGAGTAGGGTGCCCTCCTCTGTGATCCGCAGCAGTTTGTTGGGCATCGTCATGTTGTGCGCCACTGATTTCTTCCCGTTGTGGAAGAAAGTGTCTGGCGTCCAGATCTTGCTGGCCATCAGGTTGTTCAGACGCAGCACGGCCATCGGACCTTTGAATTTGAGACGCTCGTCTTTCCAGCTCTGTCTGAAGAACACGTCTATGGTGTACTCCTGCATGAACAGGGAGAGATATCAGCCTGGACCAGCCTGGACTAGCCTGCCACAATGGAATGGCTGGTATAAACAAGGTAGAGCTAAGAACTTGTGAGCCCAGGTGTGAAAAACTGGGGGGAACATGGACTTATTAAGTGGGAACAAGCTGAATGTGAAATCCAACACCAATCCAAGGAGGCAAAATTCCTGTCGTTAGCACATGGATGGAATGTAAGTTAGCACGGCTGAAAAGTCCCCCAACAAACTCCCTTTAGGCATATACAGATGTGCTGCATGTGCAGCAAAATAAGCGTTACCTCTATAAGAGATTCACTAGTTAGCTTGTTTTGCTTGTATTATCAATTTTAATCCAGATGTTAAAAAAGCATGAAAAGGGCTGGGAGTCAATCCCAAAAAGAATCAGTTCCTTGATACCCAGGGATTAAGAGCTTTGGACTCGATTCCACATAGAGACATTCAAATTTGCCTGTACCTGTGTGCTTACAGAAAGTGAAATATTAAAAAATACATAGTTTAGATTGCTTTTACTTTAAACAAAGTGGAAAACCAAGTAAAATATACAGTAATAAAAAAACTTGCACAATTTAATGACGTTACCAGTGCCAAAACATCTACTCTACCTATAGGAGTTGACAAAAGAAAACCAGGTACAACTTAGCCAGCACTCGTTAGTCAGCTAAATTAATTTAGCCTGCATTAACATAAGGTCAACTATAATTAATACTGTACTCTTTTTTGATAGATATCCTTCTCTATGTCTTGTTTTTTTGGGATTGAGAAAATTTCTGTAATCAAACAGCCCTAGAGATTAGAGGAATTTGGGGGCGGGGTTTAGGGAGCACATATTTCTGTTAGCAGATAATCCAACATCAAAAGTTGTTCCTAGATGTATTTTCTCGTTACGAGATCAAACAAGATAACAACGTATAAATATCTTTTGAAAATGTAAATTTCAAAACTTTCAATTTATACCACATTTGTGTTTTTCCTATTTCTGTAGAAGTACCATATGAGCCCGATTCCCTATTTCAGTAAAAGTACTGTTACTGTAGTGATATTTTACTTAAATATTAATTAAAGGAAATTTCTCAGGTAAGAGATAAATAAGTTATTAAAAAGTTTAATAAGATAGATAGATCACTTTATTAATCCCAGAGGGAAAGTCATCTAATACAGCAGCACAAAGTGCAGTAAAGAGCAAAACAAGAGCAGAAGTATTGCTGTACCCTATTATACAGATACACAAATAGAAAAAGTAAAGATATATAATAAAATATACTAAAACAACCATAAATTATAGTGTGCAGTAAGTAAATTTGCATAAATATAATGCAGGTGACAGTGCAGTGGTGCATGTCATGTCCAGTGAATAAACTAAATGACTATAAACTGTAAATGATACCGTATGTTTATAGTTGTACTTGCCTGGGTGTATAAAAAGTGGCAGTGCAATATGTAATATTTATGGATGTATAAACAAAATGGCAAATTCTTGAGTGATTCAGTTTGTTTCCGAATATCTGCAATCACAAAGTGAAAATACATCTGCGCTCTCTTGGTTACATTATTGGAAACTACTTCTACAAACAAAACTAAACTCTGTACTTTTACTCTGTAATGGTTACTAATTATTAACGTAGTGGAATAAAAGTAGTTTAGTATGAATTATGATAGAATTCTACTCAGACAAGCACTGTTTGTGGGAAAAAGTCGGTATTTGCTGTAATTTGTTATTCCCCACCTCTGATTATGATTGCAGTGTTTTGCAAAGCAAAGCATGTGAACGTGATTCATTATTAATGATGCACTCAAACTGTCACATATGAACGATTACGTAATGTAAACCAAATGCACAGCACAAAAATAATAACTCTAGCATTCTAAAGGTTAATCCCAGGATTGTTTGTTCTGCTCTGATGTTCCTTCACTCTCTGTGTGAGTTTATTCAGACGTGGGTCCAGCTGAGAGGCCAATGAAGTGCCGGCAGCCAAAAGCAGCAACACACGTGACGCTAATTCATGCTGACCGTCGCAGCCGCGAGCGTCTTTTCTGGCTTGCGTGCAATCGGCTCCGACAGAGCGGGTAAGAAAAAAGCACAAGATCGTTTCGCTGTGGTTTCACTCCAGCAGGATTTTAGTCAGACGTAGACACGTAATCTCCAGCTCACGTCTCGCTGAGAAAGAGGAGTCGACAAGGCGGGACTGGACAATACAGTTTATCAGTTTAGTTGTCAATAGCGATAATGCAGAGAGAGTGAGTAAACATACTGTTAGCCCAGCTCTCACCAACTATAAACAACACAAAGTTGTCGTTTATACCTGGGGTGGAAAAGACTTACAGTTAGCTCCAGAATTACTAGGACCTTTCATGAAAATGGTGTCAAATCAATAAATTAAATAAATCACACATGCAGTGAGTGATATTTTAGGATTAAACAGATGTCATAAGTTGCACATTAATATTTTTACACTGTTTGGGGGGAGGGGGGGATTTTCATTTGTAACTTTTTTTTAAGTTTCAAAAACATTGGCACCACATTAGCAATATATATCAATACGTTTCTATGTGTTTTTGACGTGTGTTTCGTGTCATTATCTTTCTAAAAAATCCATCTATGGCCAAGTATCAGCATTCCAGCTAAGGTGGACAGATTTAGAAGAAAAAAATTAATTGTTCCTGCTTTTCAAACTGTTTTATTATCATCTTGATTAAGCATAAAGGTAAAGTCAATTGACTGAATCTTCACAGACAAGTCTTCACTGCCTTATTTGAAATGACAGCTCTTTGGTTTTGCCCTGTTGATGGACGTCAGAGGGATTTTCCCTGTTTGTAACCACATATTTATACCCCAGGTGAACAAGAAGTGGTCATAGAGACCATTGGAATTCATGGAGACTAGGAGAAATTTAGTTATTTTTCCCCAAAGATACTTATTTCTTTTATTTTATTTAAAATATTATTTAGGGGTGTCAATAATTTTGCCCCATATGTTTGAAAGAATACCTTTAAAATAAAACCACACTCTTATAGCAATAATTTCTATTAGACTAATGTTCAGCAATTTCTCAAAACGTTTTTGAGGAGCACTTGAGTCGTTATCTTAATATTTTATTTATTTTATTTATTATTTAATATTTTGTATAAATGTTTTTTGAGGGGTTGTGGAGTTGATTGTAAGTGACTGTATTGTACATTTTCATTCTTCAAAGTGCTCATTTCAAATCTCAGCAGATTTTACTCCTTGTGTCTCGTTTATCAGTTGAGTTTTTACTGTAATCATTTGTCTTCATGTCTTTGTGTGAAGAGCCAGATCACTGGTCACTTATATCCATTGGTGCAAATTTAGAGGGGACGGGTCACTCCCACTTTTTAATATAATGTGCGATCGTTTTTGTGGGGTAGCAGGATGGTTGTCGAACAAAATACATAGCTTATATTACTGGTAATATTTCCCATTAAATCTCCCACACCAGTCATATTAGAGTCTGCAGCAGCGCTTAGTGAAGCAGCTAGCCTATCAGATAACTTGCTCATGAGAATATGGCAGCTCGGCTATAGCTTTTCAATGTTGCCCCCTTTACCCCCAACTTCTCAGACCAAACTGGGACCTCTGCTTTATAAATAATAGAATTTATAAGCACAGTCATTTGAGCATGGGTGAAAGCCCCACCCACTTTACTCTGATGGGTGGAAAAATTAGGTGTTTTTTCTTGGTTGGGGGGGCACCATTGATGTATTTCTTGAAGGCTGCTCTTGTCCCTGTTGCTAAGCAACAGCTAGTGATAACTACCAGGCTGTCAAAATTAGCCAAACATTTAGCTTATTAATTATATTACAGAACATAATAAAACAATAAAACAAATAATTATAATTACAGACAATGCAATCGGATATAAAATAACAAAACAATGTAAAAAAAAAAACAATTAAATGAAATCTCAAGCACTGCAGTGAAAAGACCCCAGCTGTGCTACCAAGCTATACATTCAATATGTACAGGCAAAAAATAGAACTACTACTGTTAACTAAGCAACATAGTACAATTAGCAAAAACAAGCTAAACTTAAAAAGCTGCTTTTTGTCTTTGTTATGATTTAGATCAGTGGAAGACTGCAATCACTAACGCCTCCTCCAGAGCAGCTGCAGATTATCTGTGATCGGACTGGTCAGCACAGAAAAACACTGTAGATTCAGCTGAACAAAACATAAAAATAAAGAGGCGCAAAAAAATTCTCTCCAATTAGAAACAACAGGATTAAGACATCTCAGCAGCACCCAGATGTCTCGATTTGATCATCGGCAGGGGTTCAAAGGGAAGGTGGTAAATGAAAGATGATGGAGAGTGAAGGATGTATCATCCACACAGTTTCACGTTTTATTTAATGTATTCTATTTTCTTACTGCATATTTTTGTATATTTCTAGTTGTAAATATGCCTGTAGATCGGTTTTCTGTATATATTCTTCTTTTCATATTGTACCACCCTTATTATTATAACCGTGCTGTGTTGTGTGACTGATACTGACGGCTAAATTTCCTTCGGGATCAATAAAGTATCTATCTATCTATCTATCTATCTATCTATCTATTTCATTGTTACATGCATAAAAAGTTCTGTATTAATAAATTTCCCTTCAGAACTCAACCAAACATGTCATCGCCAAAGACACACCAAGCAGTTTCACAGGCAAAACTGAATTGTTAGCCATTGTTGAATTGTTGTTGAACTGAATCTGAAGCCAGTATGAACCCCTGATTGTGACGATTTCCACTGAAATGAATGTAATTTCACTGTAAAAAACGAATGTAACTGGGCCTTTACGGTGACGGAGCTGCAGCAAAACAAAGAACAGCTGCATGACGCTGGAGCGCGCCCATATGCCGGAGAAGTAATTAAGTGAAATTATGTGGAAACGGCGATCACTCAAAGCAGCGGTTTCATACGCAAGACAAGGGCGTCTCTCTCAGCTGCTGGAGGACCATCTGACTCCTCTCTGTGAACTCATATGTAAAGACCACAGTAATTCATCTTAATTCAGGCATTAAAGACCATTAAAGCGGACACTGGAATCGGTCACTAAACAGTGACTAATGAGAAACTGTGGCATCTCACTGAAACAGCAGCCTGTTTTAGCTCTCTTAGCGCGTTATTTTCACCTGCTCAATTTGTTTCAGTGGAAATGTGTATGATTTATGTGGATATTAATGTGTGTACTGTGTATGTATTTTGAGTCTAATGGGTTTATATTTTTTTCTTATATGTTTTTGTATATAAGTACTTTAAGGGGGCTACACCTCCAAGATTTTCACTCACCTTCACACCTGTGTAAATGTGATTTGACAATAAACATGATTTGAGGATTTACAAAAATGCACTCATCTTCATAGGTGAGCAATGCTGTGTTTATTGTGTTAGTAGTGCAGGATTGTTTGACATGAATAAAGCTGAAGCTGTCTGTTTATCTCCACACGGCTGTCTTTGTGGAGAGGTGTGAAAAGTTTTTCACAGCAGGGGTTCTCACCCCTCCCCTCTCACTCCTCATTGCTCGCTAGCAGCTCAACAACATTTCACACTCAGAGAGATGACGGAGTCCCAGTTCATCTGATGACAGAGTTACAGGAAACAAATATTTATTTAATTATATTAACTAAAAGTATTTGAGTTGAGGTCCAGTCTACAGGTGGAATGGCCACTAGGGGGCACTGCAAAACTACAGTAGAACTTAAATTAAGGTCAGTTCGCACTGAATCCATGTCTTGTACAGACAGAAAAGCACAACAATTGGTGTGAAGTTTCCACTATGTCAAAAATTGCATTGTTTCTGGAAAAAACGAATGGTATGATTAGGCTTTGGCACACTTTAATAATAATAATAAAAAGTATTACATGGTAAAAATTGTGCTTTAACTAAAAATTAACTGGGATTTTTTTTAGGATTTTAAATTAAAAATATCAATTAAATTAAACTTTTTCAAGTTAAAACCATTTTTTATAATGCATGCTCTTAAATATCATGGTTCTTTAAGAGTTCCTTAGGAAAAAGAATGGTTTTATTCAGAACTATGGGTTCTATATAAAACCATTTTATGCTTAAATGGTTCTCTGCATTGATTGAGAATGTTTTGTTCTACATAGCACCAAAAAGGTTTCTTCCACTGTTCCAAACTTGACATCGTAACAACATCAGAACCCTTTTTGGTGCTACCTACAAACATATACAACACATTATCCATCAAACTGAAGAACCATTTCACCATGCAGAGAACCATATAAGCATAACATGGTTCTATATAGAGAACCTTTTGAAGAACCATCTTTTTTTAAGAAAGTAGAGATGTGAAACTACTGTTTATTTGCTGTGTGTAACATTGGAACATAATAAAACATGAAATGTAGCCTGTGCGAAAGTTTTGGCATAATTTATGTTTTATGTTTTACTTTTTTCCAATATATTAAACTTATTTCACATATTTTCACTTAGAAAATTGACAAATGTGCAGTTTTCAAACTTCACAGCTACAACATCCACGAACAGGTTAAACTGTTACTGTCCAAAGAAAAAGAAGTATCTCCAAAATAGTAAGTTTACAGGAGAGACCAAAAACACTCTCACTTTATAATGTACGTTAATGTAATGAGGTTTTATTCCAAGTGATTTTGGAGCATTTCTATTTGTCCAATCATCATGAAATTTTTACACACCAGAAAGGATGGCTAGTGTGTTGAACTGATGTAGTAATAGAAATATGCAAAAATGGAGGTACATGGTTTTCTTAGGACAGCAACGTAAATAATGTTACAACATTCGTACAAAGGTTTCATTATGAGAAATATTAGATGTGTTAGCCGGGTGTAAAATGATTTCCCTCCAAGGCTGCATTTCTTTGCCGTGTGAAATGAAAGGATTCCTCCTTTCTTTCTCTCTTTCCGTCACTGCCTGAGCCAGACAGGAGGAATGATTCCATAACAAAGCACATTTCATCAGCGGCGCCGTGTGTCTGGCGTGTGGAAGGGCAGAAAGCAGGTGACATTTAGAGAAGGTAAAGGCTTACCATGTCGTGATCCGAAACGGGGCCAATGCTGGTCACGAAAATGTCAGTCTTCACTTCCGTTACACGCTCTGTTGGAGCAAGAAATTAGCAGTGTGAGTGTCAATCAGTGTCGGCCATTAGCTCTAACAAACCTCTTAATACCGCGGTTCAACCGCCGTCACCTCGCCAGCTAATCACCACAACCATTCTACTCAACGCTTCCCTAAAAAGGGGCTCAAAGTTCAAGATCAGTGGCAAACAACGATTCCGATGACATCTGAGTGTTTGTGTTAGTCAACAGTCAACAGTACACAATAAACAATTATACAACAGTTAGTTCCGGTCACAAAGCTGATTGGTTGAGAGGCTTTCTAACTGTGCTGTTATTTCGCCATAACATCGCAGGTTTTTCACAAACATTTTGCCACAAACATTTGATCAGACTCTGAAGATGAGACTACTCATGAGTCTCCGATGTGGACTGAATGAAGAATGAAGGGCTTCCGGCGTGATGGTCAGTCCTTTCCTGAGTGTCCATTGGTCAGTTTCACACAGAATGTAGACGGACACACGAATCCACCAGTTCCACACGGTGAGAGGCAGATGACGTGTATCTCAGCCCCTCTTCATAGGCTCATAACTCCGGATGTGAGTCTCATATGATCTCGTGATAAGATGGAATGGAAAGGGCGACTCTACAGATTCAGGAAGTGTTTGAACTGGATTTCTGAGCTGGATCATCACAAAGATACAGACACAGATATAGAAACAGAGAATTTGACGCACAGGTGAGTTTGTGGACCCCAGAACATTAACTAAACTGTGTTCTCCAACAACCTCTTTGTGTTTGAGTAGGAGAAACTTGCAGAGAGAAAGCTAACCACCAAGCAAAAGCTAACCAATGATATAAAACTGAGCATCTTGTTTGTTTGTCCATCTATCCATCTGGCTGTTCATTCAATCGGCCATGCCAGTGTTCCCCAGATGCAGAACCAGAAGTAAAGTGAATAAGAACCATCTTTAAGGCATTTTTAGCGAGTGGACACAGCGAAGTCTACAGCACCGCTTTTATACGTAGAGCCCATTTCACACGTTTAATTCTGCTTTAGTGACACAGCAGACTGGAAGTGTTGGACTGAGGGACGTCAATCACGGGTGCTCATTAGAGTATCAGACCACGCCCATACTGTTCTCAGATAAATCGGATTTAAAAATTGTTGTTTGTTTCTTTAAAACTCTTTAAAACATTTAGGAAAAATCTATTTTAAGTATCATATGAACAGTTTTAATGTTCGCTGAGGCTTTAAAGACTGATATAAGTTCAGTAGCTGCTGCAATGTGATAAAACTGATAAACAACTGTGAAAAATAGTGTTATTGCTCTCTTAGCTATGTAACAATAAGCAAGAATGTTCAACCATAAGAAACAGAGCCTGATGGACATGCATTTTATTTATATATGAAGTCTTTTCAAAGACTTTTCTCAGCAAATGATTCTGCAATCTACACCAAACACTGTCGGAAAAAAAAACTACTGAGCATCAGAGCTCTGGGCAGGACTGTTTTTTCAGTCCCACATGATTTCATCCCACTCCCGCCCACTCTCGCAGAAAACCATTTCATTTGTCCCGCATGAAACATTTTGGCCCGCACAGTACAGTGAAGGCAAACTGGCATCCAGTATCTGACGCAGTCTGTTCACAAACTCATTATTCTCTGCTGAAATAACACGGCAGTCGTGGTCATCAGGCTCAGTGTGAGTAACTTTACCAAACGTCATTTATTCCCAGTAAACACGAAGCAGGAATTCAACCACACAGAGGTTATTTTGGGTGTTTTGCTTCGCAGCTCTTTAGAATGACATTTTATTTCATATTCATTGTTTATATGTATGATTTAGCGATTGTGCTGGGATTGTTCATTAGGTAACACTTTATTTGGATCACTTTAGATACTTAATTTACTTTCAAGTTACATTCAACTAAATATCTACTAACCCTAACCCTGGTCCAAATCTTAACCCGGACCTTAACCTCAACCCAAAACCTAAACCCAAGCCTCACCCTGGTCCTAGCCCTAACCCTGGTCCAAATCCCAACCCAGACCTTAACCTCAACCCAAAACCTAAACCCAAGCCTCACCCTGGTCCTAGCCCTAACCCTGGTCCAAATCCTAACCCTGACTTTAACCTCAACCCAAAACCTAAATCGAAGCCTCACCCTGGTCCTAGCCCTAACCCTGGTCCAAATCCCAACCCTGACCTTAACCTCAACCCAAAACCTAAACCCAACCCTCACCCTGGTCCAACCCTAACCCTGGTCCAAATCCTAACCCTGACCTTAACCTCAACCCAAAACCTAAACCCAACCCTCACCCTGGTCCTAGCCCTAACCCTGGTCCAAATCCCAACCCAGACCTTAACCTCAACCCAAAACCTAAACCCAAGCCTCACCCTGGTCCTAACCCTAACCCTGGTCCAAATCCTAACCCTGACCTTAACCTCAACCCAAAACCTAAATCGAAGCCTTACCCTGGTCCTAGCCCTAACCCTGGTCTAAATCCTAACCCTGACCTTAACCTAAACCCAAAACCTAAACCCAAGCCTCACCCTGGTCCTAGCCCTAATCCTGGTCCAAATCCCAACCCAGACCTTAACCTCAACCCAAAACCTAAACCCAAGCCTCACCCTGGTCCTAGCCCAAACCCTGGTCCAAATCCTAACCCTGACCTTAACCTCAACCCAAAACCTAAATCGAAGCCTCACCCTGGTCCTAGCCCTAACCCTGGTCTAAATCCTAACCCTGACCTTAACCTAAACCCAAAACCTAAACCCAAGCCTCACCCTGGTCCTAGCCCTAACCCTGGTCCAAATCCCAACCCAGACCTTAACCTCAACCCAAAACCTAAACCCAAGCCTCACCCTGGTCCTAGCCCTAACCCTGGTCCAAATCCTAACCCTGATCTTAACCTCAACCCAAAACCTAAACCCAACCCTCACCCTGGTCCTAGCCCTAACCCTGGTCCAAATCCCAACCCAGACCTTAACCTCAACCCAAAACCTAAACCCACGCCTCACCCTGGTCCTAACCCTAACCCTGGTCCAAATCCTAACCCTGACCTTAACCTCAACCCAAAACCTAAACCCAAGCCTCACCCTGGTCCTAGCCCTAACCCTGGTCCAAATCCTAACCCTGACCTTAACCTCAACCCAAAACCTAAACCCAACCCTCACCCTGGTCCTAACCCTAACCCTGGTCCAAATCCTAACCCTGACCTTAACCTCAACCCAAAACCTAAACCCAACCCTCACCCTGGTCCTAGCCCTAACCCTGGTCCAAATCCCAACCCTGACCTTAACCTCAACCCAAAACCTAAACCCAACCCTCACCCTGGTCCAACCCTAACCCTGGTCCAAATCCTAACCCTGACCTTAACCTCAACCCAAAACCTAAACCCAACCCTCACCCTGGTCCTAGCCCTAACCCTGGTCCAAATCCCAACCCAGACCTTAACCTCAACCCAAAACCTAAACCCAACCCTCACCCTGGTCCTAGCCCTAACCCTGGTCCAAATCCCAACCCAGACCTTAACCTCAACCCAAAACCTAAACCCAAGCCTCACCCTGGTCCTAGCCCTAACCCTGGCCCAAATCCTAACCCTGACCTTAACCTCAACCCAAAACCTAAATCGAAGCCTTACCCTAGTCCTAGCCCTAACCCTGGTCTAAATCCTAACCCTGACCTTAACCTAAACCCAAAACCTAAACCCAAGCCTCACCCTGGTCCTAGCCCTAATCCTGGTCCAAATCCCAACCCAGACCTTAATCTCAACCCAAAACCTAAACCCAAGCCTCACCCTGGTCCTAGCCCAAACCCTGGTCCAAATCCTAACCCTGACCTTAACCTCAACCCAAAACCTAAATCGAAGCCTCACCCTGGTCCTAGCCCTAACCCTGGTCTAAATCCTAACCCTGACCTTAACCTAAACCCAAAACCTAAACCCAACCCTCACCCTGGTCCTAGCCCTAACCCTGGTCCAAATCCCAACCCAGACCTTAACCTCAACCCAAAACCTAAACCCAAGCCTCACCCTGGTCCTAACCCTAACCCTGGTCCAAATCCTAACCCTGACCTTAACCTCAACCCAAAACCTAAACCCAAGCCTCACCCTGGTCCTAACCCTAACCCTGGTCCAAATCCTAACCCTGATCTTAACCTCAACCCAAAACCTAAACCCAAGCCTCACCCTGGTCCTAGCCCTAACCCTGGTCCAAATCCTAACCCTGATCTTAACCTCAACCCAAAACCTAAACCCAACCCTCACCCTGGTCCTAGCCCTAACCCTGGTCCAAATCCTAACCCTGGCCCTAACCTCAACCCAAAACCTAAACCCAACACTCACCCTGGTCCTAACCCTAACCCTGGTCCAAATCCTAACCCTGATCCAAAACCTAAACCCAAAACCTAAACCCAAGCCTCACCCTGGTCCTAGCCCTAATCCTGGTCCAAATCCCAACCCAGACCTTAACCTCAACCCAAAACCTAAACCCAAGCCTCACCCTGGTCCTAACCCTAACCCTGGTCCAAATCCTAACCCAGACCTTAACCTCAACCCAAAACCTAAACCCAAGCCTCACCCTGGTCCTAGCCCTAACCCTGGTCTAAATCCTAACCCTGACCTTAACCTCAACCCAAAACCTAAACCCAACCCTCACCCTGGTCCTAGCCCTAACCCTGGTCCAAATCCCAACCCAGACCTTAACCTCAACCCAAAACCTAAACCCAAGCCTCACCCTGGTCCTAACCCTAACCCTGGTCCAAATCCTAACCCTGACCTTAACCTCAACCCAAAACCTAAACCCAAGCCTCACCCTGGTCCTAACCCTAACCCTGGTCCAAATCCTAACCCTGACCCTAACCTCAACCCAAAACCTAAACCCAACACTCACCCTGGTCCTAACCCTAACCCTGGTCCAAATCCTAACCCTGATCTTAACCTCAACCTAAAACCTAAACCCAAGCCTCACCCTGGTCCTAGCCCTAACCCTGGTCCAAATCCCAACCCAGACCTTAACCTAAACCCAAGCCTCA